TGTGTAACCCAATAAATAATTTTTCTTTACAGTAAGGTGTAGTAATTTCTTGATATTTAAAACACATGCAATAAATTCTAAATTTGTCGCTAGTTTAATTATTATTTGTTCTCGTCTCTGATATTATATAAAATATTTCCATTTAAATTAAAAATTTATCTTTTACAGTTTATATTGATCTAATAATAATAAATATCTATTCGTGCATTTACTTGCTCAACATTTTGCGCATATCCGTCAAAAGGTTCACATGGGATATTTATGCGTTTTATCCTGAATATAAAAAGATTTTGAAGTTACATGCATAGGAAATTCAAACTCTGCTTTAGAAATACATAATATTAAGAAATATATATATATATAAGAAGTAATTTTAATTTTTGGAGATTTGTAATATGTCTTGTAATTGGAGATTTTCTTCTTTTTTGTTCTTAATTGCTCATTTGTAAGTAATTCACATTTTTGCTTTTATGGGAGCTTTTAACATTCTTTTGTTCATTATAAATGCTATTTGAAAACTACTTACGATTCAGTAGCAGTTACCTTTATAAACATTTGAATAGCAATAACATTTGTTCTTCAGTAAAGAAGCCCTGAAGTTTCTAGCAATATGCGGGGAAGCTAGATAAAACGCATTAAAAATAATTTCAGAGTATTATGGGCTGCAGCTTATTTTAATTATGGCAAAAACCAAATCAGCGTTTTTTATCTTGATGAGACGGAAAGGAAAACTGTTTTTTAAGCTCTGATTGTGAAAAAAAACTACATTTTTGGAGTAATTAGTTTGCATTTCTTTCCGTAAACTGGCTATCAGAAAAAAAACGTTTTATCTGTAAAAAATAATGGAATAAAACGTTTTTCCAAAAGTTAATATCCTGGGCATCAAGAGGCACTCAAATTTACGTCTTAGAAAGAAGGAGAATGCCTTAAAGTTCATTAGAAAAGAAATTAAGCATAGAAATATTTCTTCAGAACTAAGTAACTACATTATAACAATTTGGAGGGTTAATTAAATACGTAGTAGCATTAAGATTCGTATTACTGACCTTCGGTTTATCTAAATTCTTTGATTTAAATATTTTAATCCAATAAGATTTTTGCATTTATAGCTTAGCACAAAATAAAATGTATTTTGTATCTAGATGCTCATTACAATTAACTGTAACAAGAAATTAAAAAAAAAAAATTCAAATAATATGTAAACATTATGTATAAATTTTGGAAATTTTACGTATAAAATAAGAGTACAAAATTTTAAGAATGTTTCAAAAATATATATTTTGTCGTAATTTTATGTGAAGATTTATTCAAAAGGAATAATGGAAATTCGTTCTTTGAGATTGCCTTTTTATTAGCAAGCAATGATGTAAGATGTTTTAATTTTTCAAAATATTTGTAAACATTACATATGAATTTGAGATATTTTTGGATATGAATTTTGGATATAGTTGAACATTTTCACGTAAGAGCCATTTGTCTTGTAAGTGAAAACACCCTAATTTCAAAACGTTTTAAAAGGTAACTTAACTCACATATTTTCCGTAAACAGTTTAACTTGTGAACTAAAAATTCTCAGAAATTCATAGAAGACTGTTGGGGGTCTTTTCATCTCTTCTAACTACATGTAGCAGAATCATGACAAACGTTTCGCATAAAAGTATTGATTAATCTGATGGCTACACAAACTTAAGAACATAACAAGAACATTATTCCGCAGGCTTGTAGATAGACAAACAACTTTTAACAGAAGTTAAATGAAATCTGGAAGACAATTTTAACAAAGCCTAGCTTAAACCTTGGCTTTCCTAACTAATCACTCCCAAAGTAATTGCAGCAAGCAAAACATGTTCAAAAGCGGAAAACTTGAAGAACGGTGATGAATATTAAAATTGCAACGACAGGAAAGACAGCAAATAGCATAGTCTGAACATAACAATAACTGTGTAGCATAATAACTGTGTAATGGGAAGATGATATCATTAAACTCGCAGACAGATGGGATATCGTGCAAAATGTAGTCACATAAATACCACGTTTGGCAAAAGCAACAGTTGTAATCTGGCTGGGCTTGAATGTCAGGTACGGGTACATCATTTCATGCGCCTCCAACTCTCTACCAGCGTTCATCAGCAGATGTAATCAATAAGCGGGTAGGCATAAACTTTTAGAGATAAGCTGGTGAGTGGTGGTGTAACGATTGAGAACATCTACACTTGATAAGATGTTCTCAATCAGTCAGATCTGAAAAGCGTTCTTGCCAGAGCAACATTTGGATAGCCTTTCTATGGAGAAAGGTAAGGAAGCATGGACACCATTCGGCCTTGCATTATCTTGATAAAAGATACTGTATGCAAGTTTCAAAGATACAGCAGAGCTATGAGCCTTAACCTTTTCCGACGAGTTACCTTTTAAAGTTGAAATTTCAGCCAAAAAAATGGTAGGCAGTCTAATAAGGCCTAGAGGAATACATAGGTAAAATTTTATAAAGATAGCACTTACCGTTTTAATTCTGTGGGTGTGCCCGAAAGGGGCTCACTGAATGAATAGAGCTTTGAAAAGAGTGCTGAAGTGAGCATTGCCTGAGTAATGCGCGTAATAGAGTAAACGCTTTGCCTACGATTAAAAAAAAACTAGATTCTTAATAACTTAGCCAGATTTAGAAATATGCAGGGTGTGCCACGGATAGGGCTGCTACTTGACCGTCCCCCCCCCAAAAAAAACCCTCTTCTTCTCTTCTTGGTAATATGATGATTACATGCGTATAAGTGAAAACAAGGAACTTGGGTATATGATATTTACATTTTTTACATTTCATATTAACAATTTAGTCTATTTTTTTCATGGTGGTACGTTTCGAAGAAAGTGATATCGCCTTTGAAAAACAACAACCGAAGATTGTATTTTTTGCACATGTACCGTGATCCATATCAGATTCACTATCTGAAGGCAATTCGTCTAGCACTTTCAGTGTTTCAGGAATAGTCAGCCCTGTTCGATCCATTTGCAAAATAATTAAAAATCAGAAGCAAACGAACTAATATACATCTACAATTAGAAAATCTAAACTATAAAATATAATTAAATAAAGATCTACAACTCAAAACTATCAAAACGTAGCACTAATAAAACTTCTTTGAACGAAAGCAAAAGAGAAAAAGAGAACTGCTCTAGTGAAAAAACAAACAGCTAACTGATAAAATTGCCCCTGACCTTCAGAAAGTTCCCCAACAATTTCTTAGTTGATAACCAAACCTCCCCCCCCCCCCAAAAAAAAAGAAAAAGAAAACAGGAAATGAAACACAGATGTAGAAATACCTTTCTATTTTAAGTGATCGCACTGGAGAGCTGCATTGAAACAAAAATGCAGTTATTAGTCTGGGCCTAGTGTCTTAGTGATCCCATCTGGGCACACCCAACTTTCAATGTTTGATTTTAGGCAAGATTTCAAGGTACAAATTTAAAGCTATTATAGAATAAGGATATTAGTATACAGCCAAGAAAATAGCATAGAAATTTCTTTTCAAACAAGTCCTTTTATATATTAAAAAATCTGAAAGATTTCTTTGAAAAATATGGGTCGTTAAAAACTAAACACGGCTAAAATATATGGACTGTTTCTTGTTGTGCTGCTATTTAATATAAATAAAGAAAGTTGAGAGTAACCTACAGCAACCTATAAATTCTTTTTTATTCAATTTTTCTGTGTGTACAGAGAAAAAGTTTTAGGTGTGCCCGTGCCGCAAAGAGTTAACACTTCAGAAATATAATGACGGTTGTGCTCATTACTGGCTATACGAGCAAGAGATGAGCGGAATATGTACCCAGTAGCACCCAATACCTGCTCACTTGGTTCAGGGGCTGTATGGCGTTGACGAATGTAAACTGGCAACATTCGATCTCCAAAGTGAATAACTCTGGGGCTATTCATGTGTCCGCACCACAATAGGCGCACCTGTCTCTGCTTCAGCTTCAAGAGAAGCCGCAAAATGTTGTGACTATGCTGGCAAACAGTGATCCAGCAGACATATCCGCACTATTCGTGCGGACACTTCTCATTCTGCATAAGAGCAAAGTTCCTGACTTAGGGTACGTACGTGATGTGGCTGTACCATCCCACAAGGCCGAGAGGACGGTATGTGTGTTCTCTCGGAAGCTAGGGGCATAGAGCGCTGACATCTTACATGGCGTTCAGTATAGCTCCTGGACCTATCGATTTTGTATTCGCTTGACACTCATGGGAGACAACACGAACAGTAATGTTGTAGGATTATAAAGCGCAGTCTCGAAAGGATATGATCAAATTCCGATACTTGCGGGAAGGAAATTCTCTTAAAGACGCAACATGACTTTTATACAAACAACCAACATTCAAATGAGACTGCCAGATGAGAAACCCGCTTCCCATTTAAATAATAATGGTGATTCCGTTTATTCATACCTATTTTGTGCGTATGCGCTGATGTGCTAGTCATTTGCATATATACTGACATGTACATGCAAATTTTACATGTTTTATCTAAAATTTTGCAAACATTTCTGTTTACAATTGCAGCTAACGGCCATGTCAAATTTCAACAGTTTATCCTTCTTTTTAAAAGATTTCTACCTAGGTTTTAAATCTCATGTGCTGAATTGGTGAAACAGTAAACAGTGTTTATTAATCGAGTAAATCGTTAATTTTCAAATATAATGCTTACTTTTTTGACTTAATTTCAACAGTAATAGCTACAAGGTAGCATAACAATTCTAATTGATCGGATAGTATTAATCAACAGTAACAACGAATAAGTCACACTATTCACTAGTTTGTTTACATTAATCAAGAGATAGTGGTGCATGATGTCAAAGTTAGTCAACAGTATAAAATCTTGACTAAACTTTTAAATATTTTTCAAAATTAAATAAAATTTTATATCACGTTTTTTTTTAAATAAAACGAAGTTTTCTAAAACACTCTTGGAAATATTTTATACTCAATCGTGTTTTTTTATTCCAGCTCATTTCATTCTTGGAGCCATCCGCATGCTGATGATGGACGTCCCAAGCCCTACAACCCAAGGAGAGTCAGTAGAGTTGATTTGCAGCTATGAGCTGGACGAAGACAAGCTCTATTCTGTCAAGTGGTACAAAGATGATATCGAGTTCTACAGGTATGTCCCAAATGACTGGCCACCGGGGCAGTTCCTTCCTCTGCAAGGAGTGCGAGTTGATGTAAGTACAATCCCTTCTTTGGTAAAGAAATTCAGAATTTCCGTCATCTTCTATTGCACCATAAACGAAAATTATTATGATTTCGAATAAATTCTTTATTTGGTAACACAGTACATCCTAATACGAATCCTTTATTCACAGTATTCTCAGCAATTAACATTTCTGACCATGCTTGAATACCTGTCTCTATAATGACTGTCCCAGTCAGTTTCAAGCCATACAAGTAGTCGAGTGATTAAGACCACTAAATACTGGTAGTTCGACCTGGTTTCGAAACCTGGCGAACAAAATGCCTGCATGGTTGGATTTTGAAATTTTCTCCATGCATAATGTTAATACGAGCCAGTACTATTGAGATTTCCATACTGAACTGTTTTAATGAAATTATTTTCTTTCCTAAAGTGCCTTACAAATATTAAAAAGTAACGGAATATATGAGAGATCATTATCAAGACACGTATTGAGTGAACACAACCATAATATCAAAAGCCTTTACTCTATTTAAAATTTCTTTCTGCAAGCTATAGAATTTAATGATTTTTAGTTTTTAATATTTCTACAGACTTTTTTTTTTTACAAATGGCGGGCACTTGCCTATAACGGCATTGGCCACTACTAAGGCCAGAAACGGTAATCATTTTATTATAGAGGCACCTAATAGGCGGCCACCGTTACCTCCTATGAAGGGACATACAATTTTACATCTAATGCCTTCTCCTGGATCCGAACACGGACCCTTTGGTATAGCAGTCAGGCTCTCCTAACCACTATATCGTCTGGGCAGCTATTTCTACTTTACTATTTCTTTTTAATTAATATTTCTATAAACATATAGAATACATACTTAATATTCAGATACTTTAAATTATTTTTATTTTATGAGATAATAAATAACTTACTTTAAATTTCCATAGAAATAAAAATTGTTAAGCAAATACTTATAGTTTAAACCTAGCATTTGTGCCACGCAAGATGCAACAATATAAATAATTTTAAATGAGGTTTTTTTTAATATATTAAATTCATGATGTTTTTAGTACGCTACCTTAATGCAATATTTATTAACTCCTATTAACTAACTAACATTATTTTCATATTTAACATTATTTCATTAACATTATTTCATATAGGGAAAGATTTTTATGGGCATGTTTATATTTTTATGCACGTTTTTATTAATAATTACTGTGACTTATACTTCGCTATTGTCTTCAAATGGAAAATCTTTATACTTTTTTGCATGACTTTTTCTTCTGTTCAAGATCTATGATTTCATTATTTTAAAGGCAAATTAAATATGTCGACTGTATTCCTTGCATTTAGGAAATGAGAGGTATAAGTAAAGTACAAGAAAATTTATATTTCTCTTTGTTAATTAGGTATATATGTAATAAATCGTAATGTTATAAAAATAAGAAAAAGATTTAAAATAATCTCGTAAATTTGAAGTTTTAAAAAAAATTTACCGAGTATGTAATCTTTTTCCTATTTTTATAAAATAAAGTTTTATTCCATTATATATAGTATATTTCGAGTTATTGAATTTGAACACAGATCATTGTATTTCGTCAGATTATTTGTATAGTCTGCTTGTTGTACCCAATTTTTATTTAATTAGCGAGAGTGAAGTTTACTGTTTTAAGATGCAGAATAAAAATTTAATACTTAGTAATTTGTATAATCTTGTAATTTAACCACTAAATGCAATTCGAAACCGAAGAAAATTAAATTTTCAGGTGAAAAATAATTTTTATTAATAAATTTTCTTTTGAAGTTACAGTTAAAAATTCAAAAATAGTTCTTGGCAAAAAGCAATAAAATTAGGGAAAATTCAAAACAGTACTTTAATGGAAAAGTGTCTAAAAATACTCTCTTTAACTATGACAGCGAGTTAACAGTTATATTTCTCAAATGTATATCTAAAACAAGTTAATTCAAAGTCCTTAATCAACCTAAATGTAAACTCTAACCTAAACCTTGTAAAGCTTTTGTAAGTAATTAAATATATTTTAATTAAAAGGTATAAAGCTTTCTGTTGTTGATATTCTTCTAAAATCTATTTAAGATTTTAGGAAACATGTGGGAAGATAAACATAGGTCTGCTAATTTTTAATTTTAACAATAGTTAAATGGAAATCACATCAGGAGGATAATACGCTGTTAGTTGTAACAGTTTTAAGTTATATTCTTATTAATATATGAAACGAAAATTAATATTTCTTCATAAATTGCTTACTTTTTAACCGGTCTAATGTTTTTGTACCCAGTAAAAGAGTCCCAAAAATTTCAAACTCTTAGATCAACAAGATTTAGTGCAAGAGTTGCTTTGTAAGTGCCGTTGATATTTACGAAATTCAGTGTTGCTTAAAATATGCACACACCCAATGAATGAGTTTTATATACGTAGATTAAAAAAATTAAAAACATTGAAAAATTGTGTGTTGAATCTTACAGTTTTGTTCTCTAATTATTCCTTATATTATTTTTAATAACATTATGCCAATCGTAGTTCAAGTGACCCATAATTAAAACAAACGCAAATGGGGATAATGTGGTTAACGGATAGGAAAATGCTCAGAATTTCCTATTTTCCGTCAAGTTTTTCCTTTTTTTATTTATTATGCGCACTATATAAAAAGGTGCACTATATATTAATCACTATATAAAAAGGAAAGAGGACTTTTTAAGCGAAACAGGCTCGCATCTACGTTACACGTGGGAAAAAAAGAAAACGCCCATGCAGCCCGCCCATTCGCCGGACCCTGAGACCCGCACCGAACTACCAGCATTCAGCGGCTTTTATTGTTCAGCCGCTAGTGGAGCTTCCAGCATCTTTGTCTAATTGTCTAAAAGAAAACTATTTCACGATTTGCAAAGTTTCTTCTAATGCTCGTATAATAAAAAAGCGTAAAAGCAAGTTAACACAAAGAAGTCTTTAAATGCAATTTTATTTTTAAGTTATGGAAATGCATTTCTAGGAAAAATAAATTATGATAATTTCTACCATTTCTCAAAGTTCAGAAACAACAGAACATTTCTGGAAGTTTAATACAAAACTCTGCTGTTGCTAAAATAGCTAAAACAAGAATTTCTTATAATTACAAACATTTTAAAAATATTTCCTCAAAATTAATACCGTTATAACATGATAACGATCATCTTATGCTGTTAAAAATGAAGCTTCCGTCACTTTATCTGAATAGAAACACCTCAAGTTAAATTCCACCTTCTTAATTTTTACTCGCTTCAGCTAGCCTTTTATGACACGGCTCAAGATATATCACTTTAGACTATTAAATGTCTTAAATTTTCCAACCTTCTACCCAAACAAATTGGGAGAAACAATCTAGGGCAGAGTTGGTGCTGTTAACAATCTTTCAAGCGCACCTCTGCTATCATAACTCAGAAAATAAAGTACCGCTTGTTCTTGTTTTGAAAACCTCGGAGAACTCCAGTTAATGGCTCTTTCGAACTACAAAGCTTCAGGCATTAATTGAGATGCCTTGAGGATATGGCGCACTTTATGGATTTGTTTGTGTATGTAGTCCTTCACGGGATGCAACAAATGGATCTGCGTTCTTTCAATGACTGACTACTCTAAGATAGAGGAAATTTTGTAATTAAAGATCTTCAGAAGGAACTACAAGATTTTGCTTTTCTTCAAATATGCAACGTTTCTTGGCTTGATTCTACTCGTTTAATTTATCTACTGACTGAATAAACTGATTATAATCTTGTATATGAAGGAGAAACTTTTATACATTCTATAAGACTTTCGAGGGAATTCTTATTCAATATGATATAAAACAGAGGCTTTTATACACATGAGGGTCAATAAAAGGCGTGCTTGGTCGCATAATGCACTTTTTTCAAACAAAAGTTTGGAAACTGTCTTGAAATAATAAAATAGTTATTAAGGCTATATTTATTTCTACTTTACTTTTTATGATGAATTTTGCAAGCAGGCCAACATCAAGAACAACTACTTGAATAAAGGAAGATTTCGTAGGATGACAAATTAATGAGACTACAATGGATGCTCAGAGGATGAAGCAAATTTACTGGTTTTCAACTGAATTCTATCAGAAATAAACATCATCGCTAACAGGTGACAGTGGCAGAAAGACGGGATATGGCTGCTATGATAGCTAGGCAGGCTTGATCCTGCCTCGTTGTACTTCGAACTACGCTACTTAATACGAATATTTTGGCATTACTGCTGTATTGGAAATGTGCTGCACTAATAAATAGCTGTGATAATTAGAGATGATGTAGGTAAATGGAAAATGAAAACTATGCATTATGCATTTTACATTTTTTGAAGATAAGAATCTGAGTTTTATTTAGAATAAATGTACATGATTTTATTATCGTGATTATGAGACTATTCTTTAAAGTACGCATCTACATTATGCTTGTTAATTTGTATCAGGAAGCCTTAAATCCGGGATGGCAAACCTTTATACATCTAAGCGCCAATTTTTGAAGAAAAGTATTTAATATGGTCGTGACGTGTCAACATGCATTGTTAACTTTGTGATTAGTGAGTAAAAAATAAATATTTCTACATTAATACTCTTTAATTGCAACCAGAAACAGACATTTATACAGTAGTAAGAACATTAACCGCTTTTATGTTTATTTAATAAAGAAAAAATATATGCGATTTCTGTTGTTGCAAATTAGATAACAAATAATTTATTATTAGGTTCATATTTTATTTTTAGCAGAATACAAGCTGGATTGGAGTCATCTGAAAAACGGTTTCTAAGAGCATTTTTAACGTTATTATTTTCTGAAATTAATGACTCAACAGCATAGATAGATGAAAATACTGTCGAAATAGCAAGCGTAAATTTCTTGAGACAGCTACATGAGATTGGACAGGAAATTCACGTTTCATTAACGTCTAGGAAATCTTGTCGGTCTCAGCATTATAATAATAAATATTCATTTTTGCATTATTACTAGAGCCTTCCAGCAACCGAGTGGTAAAGCCA